TGAAATGATTTCCATTCAATTATTTCTATACATTTTACTTCATCTATGAATTGATTCTGCAGCATTTAATACAGTGTATCTGACAAAGTGCAACACATTGCATTTTAATAGGAATAGACAATAAAGTAAAATTATTTCATATTTGCAATATATGAATTCTCTGGATCATTTATATTTTGATATTCAAAAGAGTTCATAATAAATAACCAAAATTACTCTAACTTAGTTTGGGTTAAATACTGTTATTTTTTAAATGTGTACAAAAATTACTCATTTGAAAATACCAGCACAACTATCATGATGAATATTTGGGTTGGGTCTCTTAAGCTAAATAGTATGTTAAAAATTGAGGAAGAAAAAGAAACCAACAAATTAGTATCTCAAATATACTGCATCAGACACTTTTGCCCCCAATCTAATATTCCTACTGCATAAAATATATTCCTAAATTTTAAAAACTGAAAGAAACTTATATGAAAACTGCATAACCAATGACTCACAAACTATCACTTGTATATGACATATAATGGTTAATACACTTATGAAACACATACATATAAATGTATATATACACATATCCGGGCATTTGTTATAGAAAGACTTTAAGTTGACATAAAAGTAATAAATATATAGTAATTAAATCCAGTGTCAATCAAGATAAAATATATTCAGTTGTTTTAGGCATATAACTAATGAGTATTCCACATGTTTAAAGTGACTGCCATATATCTGTGTCTTACAAAATAATAGAGAAATTCAGGACTCTGAGAAACATTCGTAAGTAGAATAGTTAGATGGGTAATATGGAGTGATTACCATTTTCATAAGGTTCAAATTCAAAAGTCACTTAATTAAATGGATTTTTATTCCATTGGTTTCTAATTCCTTTTTTTTAACCTCAAAACCTAGTCTTGTTCTGGGATGTAGCTCAGTGGCAAAGCACAAGCACAATACCCTGGGTTCGATCCTAGTACTAAACAAGAAAGGACAAAGAAAATCTATTCTTCAAAAGGAGTCAAACCAAACATGTTGCCATGACTATGATATCTTAATTTTAAGCTGAGAAAGACACCATGAATGTATTTCCAGTTGAATTAGAAGCTTATTTGTGCTTTGCTTTATTTTCATTAATTTGGTGATGAGTGACTTTGGGAACAACCCATTGAACTCATGAAATTAAATAGCCAATGTCAAACAATTACTGAATGTGTCTTATGCTTTCCTTTCTCCTATTGAAAAATAATGACTGGAAAAGATAAGAAGGGAGGAGGGAGAGAAATGTGAGGAAAAAGAAGGATTTCAGAACTAACAAAGTAAAAAAAAAGTGTATGTCTTACTTCAAATAACTGGTCATAGGATATAAGTCCTAGGAACATGAATATCCCTGAAGTCTAAATTCAAGGAATGATGATCTTAAATCAGATAACATTTTTCCACTTTCTCTCTACATGTTTTCTTTACCCACTAGTTTGATTTTTCTGTTATGGTGGAGAGAGTTGAAAGCAAGGACAGACAGATTGGGATAGAAAAAGAATTGCATAATGTCCTAGTGTACATGTGGTCAGAATTTTGCCAAAACATAGAAAGTTGTGTTTCAACTATGATCTTTATCCTAAAGTTGCTTAACACATAACTACAATAAATAATTTGGTGTAAATGATTTTATACAGTTATATAAATTATATACATCTATATGGAATACATTATTTGTGAAAATTTGAAAACTTCACAATGTAATCATACATGAAAATAATATTTTATAATATTTACCAGGAAATATATGTACATAAGATTATGAAACATATTAAACAGAACAAGCACAAAAGTAAGCTTAGTTTGCATCCATATTTTAATTGATGCTAGAAATATTACATATTATTATTCTCCAAAATATTATGGAAAGAATGTGCAGGGTTCCTATATCCAATCATATACCACTGATAAATCCAGCCTATTTATTTACTAAGCAAACAACCTAAAATAGCTCAAATAAAATATGCAAAAGTGCACATTTTGGATTTTATCATATATTTTCATGTATTGTCAGTAAACCATAAAGAGAAAGGTAATCCATTTTTCATTCTATACAGTTTCATAATTTGAACATGATAAATATTTTTAAGCACAGTAGAGCCACAATGAGATTAAATTATCCTCTAAATTGAAACTTTTAAAGTAATTTCTGTTAATAAATCATATAATTTTTATTTACCAGTTTGAAAAGTATTTAACACCATAGAATGAAAGAGTATGCCTCAAACAATGGGGAAAGAGTATGCAAAATAGTGCTGATCTTAAAAGATCAAAATTTTGCATATGTTTAAAAAAATACATCAACAACCCCTCTTTAACCAGAATTACAACTTGATTTTATGTAATTCCTATCTTTTTGTTTTATGCATCAATTAAGATATAAAACTTAGTTGTATGGAAATTCTCACTTGGCACCAGTAGTTTATCATTTAATAATATCATTTAGTAATAATTCAAGTTGGCATTATTAAAAGACAAAAGCTATTCCTATCATGGAAAAAACTAAATTGAACCAATAACCAACCCCGAATATGATGTTAATGCTAGTATCTTTCTGTCTTTTCTCCTTATTTTGAATCTAATATAGAAGAGGTAGATGAAAAGCAAGAGATATATTTGTTTTCCTTTTTTTTTCATGTTATCATGGCATTGTTAATCTCTTCTCCTTTGGGGAAAATTGGAAGATAAAATGTTGAAAAGAACATAAGAGTTCTCACTGCACTTGGTCAAGGTAGCATTATAACTAAAAAAAAATCTTCAGGGAAACTTACCACCTGTTCAATCTGAATGCAAGTTGTTACTGTCAATTTACTCATGGGTGAATGCTGCCTCTTTGTGGCAGAATGCCACGGCAATTGTGCCTTGAACATGAACTTCATGAACAGCCCTCTAGACTAGGTGAGATTATGGGGAGAACCACCAGCTGCCCTACAGCACATGCACATTCAGACTGAGATGGATTCATACATTGCCTCCTCTTCAATACTATTTGCTGCCAACACGATGAACATGTAGGGCCCAGACCAACTTTTAACAAACTATCCATCAGAATTGCCTAAGAGTTTCGCACAACTTAAAAAAATCCGGGCATTATGGAAAACTATAGGCTGCATAAATAGTATAGGTATGACAAAATATAAAATACTGAAATGAAACAATGAGTATAAGTAATATATTACTTACCATGATCCATGGATTAGATGAGTACCTCAGTAAATAAACATGTGCAATTAAAATATCATTAATAAACATATTAATAGACACAGTCAGAAAAATATACTCTCCTGCATCATCAAAGGCATATTATATATATAATATACGTACATTTTGAATTTTTTTCGTAATCAGAGGTAAAATTTAACTATTATTTCCTAGATTATTAGAATGGAGTTTTCACCATTCACACATAGCTGTCTTTTGCACACCAAGTAATCAGTACTTAAATCCCTCAAATTTGACATAGTTATCAAGTGTTTATTCAGAAACTATTTAAAAAATTACATGTGCTGGGATACATATGAGACTGTAACAACAGTAGCCCGCCTTACAGAGATCCTGTTTGTCATTATCATCATTCTTACTGCCCACAGGGATAAAGACATTGTACAGTCTGTCATTTGGTCTTCTGAGGTGCCGGTACACATGGATCTGTACGAACGCAACTGGGTTTGGTTACACAATCAAAAATTGGCTACAATAGTAGTCAAATCAATACATCGTTTTGGTTCACTACTAAAAATACTTTCAAATCTTCTCTAAGAAAACCCCAGATGTCCATACAACTTTCAAATCAAATGGCCCGATTAATTGCCCTGACTTCATTTTCTTGTATACACTGGACTACCATCCTCTTTTATTATTATTTTTAATGCAGATTCAATTGGCTGGGTTGCATTTTCTGGTTGTTTTTTTTTTTTGCCATGAAGTGCTCCCTATTTTTCAAGGTTTAAAATACCATCCTGGTATCACTAGAAGTTTGGAAACGCAGCTCCTAATACAGTCGGACAACTCTGTGAAAAATCATAGGCTAAATAGTCAAGGAAAGAGGAAATGCTAAATGCGCATATAAAAATAGGTGCTACAATAAAATATTTGTATATTTCATCAATAAGTTATTTTGACTAATCAATTATGGATCATATAGCTCTGTAATTTTAATGATTTGTCCACATCTATAACGATCCTTTTTAAAAATTTTTCCCTTGTTTTTTTTTTTTTTTGGATCACAACATTTTTGTTGTGGCTGTATTGTTTAATTCAAATGTCCAGAATGCATACAAATACATCCTTTAAAAACAATGAAAAAAAAAGAAAAAGGATTAAGAAGGGAAGTAAGAAGGAAGGGGTTGGCTGAGAAGGAGAATAAACTTTCTATTGAAGTGGAGGGAGAGGGTGCTGATATCTCCATCAAAGCCCTTTAGGCCCACCCATGGCTTTAAGGTGGGGGGGGGAAGGAATGGTGGGGGTGAGGGGTAGGAAGGACAGGAAGATGGGGGAAGGTGGACTCTAGCCACGCCCACCTCTCCCAATTCCACAGCACTTCCAACACGACCAAAACATAAAAAGAAAAGAGAAAAAAAAGAAAAAAGAAAAGAAAACACCACCACCAAAAAAACCACTCCCCGTGACCTTTCCTAAGCCCTCCTGAGCACACGGTTGCCCTCCACAAAGCCTTTCTCTCCTCCCCCACTACTCCAGAAGAGAAAGCAACGTGCCCAGTGGACACAAATGTGTTCCCGCGTGTAAAGACGAAAAGGAATTTGCACACCCTTTCGGTTGTCTTCCGCTGAAACGGAGAAGCCCCGTGCCAAGGCACTTCACCCTAAACGTTGAAACAACACAATGAAGCCAACGTGTTCACCGTGTGTGTGTGTGTGTGTGTGTGTGTGTGTGTGTGTGTGTGTGTTAGCTCGCTTGTGGGTTGGTTGGTTGCAAATGCAAACGCTCCCCGGGGCGTGTCTTTGCTTTTAGAACTGACTGAATGTGGTCTGTTTTTCCAGCACTTCGAGGTAGTCCGGCTCAACGTTTAGTTTAGCTTTTAACTCCAGATACTCGTTCCGATTGGGTTCTACAAAGACAGCGCTCGGGGGGCTGTAGAGCACCGGTTCTCGCAGCCTGCTGTCCCCGGCCCCCGGGTGCAAATACTGATGGGGGCGTCTCAGGTCATAGTTGGGGGAGAAAGTGTAAGCAGCAGGGCTGCAGGGGAATTTGGGGTACTCCGGGAGGCTGTTGCCCGCGGGGGTGCTGGAGCAGTGTTTGTCAGGCTCTAAAATGCCCCTGTAGAAGCGGTCCGCGTCCGGCACGGGCGCCAGCAGCTCGTCCCGGGGCTCGATGGTGCTGACGCTGTAGGCGGGGCTCCGCAGGTGGTGGCTTTCCCGCCGCTCATCGTCCCCGGGCTGCAGCTGCAGCGGCGGCGGCGGCGGCGGCTGGGGTTGCAGCGGCGGCGGCGGCGGCGGCTGCTGCAGGTGGTGGTTGCTGCTGTAGGTGACCTTGAGCTCGTGCAGGTCTTTGTAATCCTCCACCGAGTTGCCTTCCCGCGACCGGTAGATGGGGTTTTTGCACATGTGGCCCAGGGGGTGGGGGATGTACTCGTACACGTGGCCCGCGGGCGTCTTCACCTTGGGCAGCGCGGGCCCGCGGTGGTGCACGTGGGCGTGCGGGTGG